AAAACAAAACCAAAAAAACTTTTCATGTTTTCAACCATTTGGGCACACTTCGTTGCAGCTGGATTTTTACTATTTTGCTTTTATGTTGTTATATATTAAGTCTCGTTGCCCCTGGCCAGGGCTGTTTTATTCCTTGTTTTTATTGTAAATAAATTATACTTAACAAACTTTAGAAAGTTATCTACTACCTTGACTCACCACTGTTCTGTCCCGCTTAGAATGAGTTTTCTCTTCCAAACGGACCCTTTAACATATAAAAATGATGTAACAATATCTAAAGCAAATTAAAGTTTTCCCGGTCAGGAATGTCTGCCAATTTTCTGTCATCAGGAAGGCGGGGAGAAGGCGGGGAGAAGCAAGGATCAAGGATAAAAAAAATTCTTACCTCGTACTTCAGTAGCAGTTTTTCTCCATCTTTCACATTCTCCGCCACCTTCACTGCAAAGCAGCAGTGTATCCTTGGAATAGAGGGATCAGAATATAATTATCTTCTTCAGTTAATAAAGGTGAGTCACCTCAGGGTGAAATGTACCAGTTTAACGTGTTCCTAATTTTGGTTAATCTGTTAGCTGTTTCAAGTTGCTTTTTCTTTTTTATGGGCCAAGGATGTTTTTTTCTTTCTTTTTTTTTTTTTTTTGTAACGGTTTAAACAATGAAAGGTGGTTGATTGGCCAGATGCTGGTCGATGTGTATAAATAACTCAGTTGTTTGGTGGTAAATAATTATCTGAATCTTACAACCAAAGTTTTTTGCATGACGTAAAATGTATAGAAATCATACATATAAGACAGTGTACATCACTGTCACAACAGCGTTTGTCATTCAAAGGCTTTATGGTTTTTCCTGTAATACCTGGTAGGCTGGTCTCTAGTCAAAATGCCCAGGCCAATTTTTTTGTCCCAGTCCAGCCCTGATTATTATGATCTTTCTATGATGATTAATCTATGTAAGTCATTATGGGATTATGGGACTGTTTTTGATTATTTTTATTTGTTTACAGGCGTAATCAAAGTCTTTTACATTTTTATATTAAGTGAAGAAAGTCTTTATTTATATTTGAGTTGGGGAGGGGGTCACAATTTTTGGTAAAGTACCAAAAAAAAGCTGTTATTGTTATGAGTCACCAGCTAAAAGCAGGCAGGCAGAGTTTTGATAACTTACAATGTTTAACGTATAATTGCTGCAGCTGTTGATTGCAACTTATGATTTGTTCTTCCTTCTGACAGACTTGAAGCAATGGATGGACATTCTGGTGTCATTCTTCTGTATGTCCTGCATGTGGGTTCCTGGTTAAGTTTCCATCTCATCTACAACCAGACTGACGGACTGACTGTGATCCTTTATGATGACAGAGAGAGGCTTGCTGCGATATTCCTGCAGAGAATGGTGATGAAGTTCTTCAGGAATTGAATTCACAGCCCTGAGTGACCAAGACCATGTGTTTGCACAGCCTCCATGCAGAAAGCAGCTGGGAACCTCTGCGGGGCCTTCAGAATCCAACAGTGCCTGCACAGATTAAATAAATAAAAATTTGCACCTGCCCCTTTTGCGCTATTTTACACTGCCATAGTACACACTGGGTTTGTCTCGGTTAAGTGGCTTCTTCTAGATCAGGAGGATGGATCCTGGCGACTCCCAGAGAGGGTACAGTTTTACTCTGAAGAGAGGCAGCGTGAGAAATTTTTATTTATTTGTTATTTTTTTCGTTTTAAATTTGGACAAATCTGTTAACACAAGCATTATGAACATGTTGTGTAAACCCATACTTGTTGAAACTGTGAGGTCTACATGCTGTGAGTCAACTGCCTTCAAGTGTTTGTACTTAAAATCCAAAGTCTGTAAATCGTTTCCCTGAAAGATTCTGCAATTAAAACATAAAAATGTAAAAATCAGCCCAACTGTGAGATGTAAACATTCATTAAGACTGATCACAACAACCAGGATGTCACCTGACAAAAAGGCAACCTCGAACGTGATTTACTTACCTATCTTCAGAAGTGCAGGGAGAAGAGAGGGAGCGGACCAGCGATGCACTGCAAAGGCCTCCCTGTTGAAACCCTCTGCATGTCAGCAACACAGAGATGCCATTTAATTTCACTCTTCTTCGCCAATGTTCTCCCGTCCCAAACACGGGATGCTCCTGAGAGACATTCACAGCTCACGACGCATCAGACATCTTCCTAATGCACAGCAGCAAAAATCATAAATATGACAGAGAGAAATGGCCAGCAAGTACCAGTATCAGCAAGCAAGCAAATATATCCTCTCTGTTTTTTACTTTTGAACAGAGGAAGTTCTCAAACCTGTGACTTGTGTTATTACTGATGTTAAAGGATCACACTAAATAGTTGATATGTACAGGAAAAAAAAATTATAAACTGACACATTGATTAGTTATATTGCATAACATTCATTTAACATGACTTTAAATACGACGTTCAGATTTGTAATTAAATGTTTTTTTCTCACCTTTTCCAACTTTAGTGTGCATCTGTGCCAAAAACAGAAGACTAAAACAAACGTAAAAAATACAAAAGTTTATTTTTAATGTAGATTTGGGGGGAGGTAACGGAGGCTAGTTCTCAGGATATTTAACCCTCTAGTGAACGACACTATTTTTCCCATTTCTCCGGAAAATTTCTTTTTCTTTTCTCCTGTTGCACCTGGGTTAGACTGTGTCCGCTACGCTACATACGCTAAACGGCCACATTCCTGTCTGGGCAGACTGCTGCGCGGTCACTGTGCACTTTCCTATAATAACAGGAAACTGTTATTATATGACTACAACTACAATTCAAATAAGGCTCACCATAATTGGACAATAGAAGGTTGGAAAACATTGTCTGGTCTGTTGAGTCTCAATTTCTGCTGCAACATGTTGTGTTGTTCTGGCTACTGGTGGTGTAATGCTTTAGTACCAACTGAGTATTATTTAAACACTAAAGCCACTATGTCCTTTATGACTACACTGAAGCCTTCTTTGTCCTACCATTAATTAATGCGGTTCACTCTGTGCTGGAGTAGAGAATGAGAGTCACAGCTTTAAGTTATGATCAGAATAAGACATGTTAGCTGAACAAACACAGTATGTTACTGTTAAAAATGCAGCTTTAAAAAGGCCGACTGAAGCCAGCAAACCTCTGCTGTCTGTGTTCCTCTGATGTTTTAATCTGTGGGAATCAGGGGTGTGGCACCTTCATGCTTCAGATTGATGTCTTTGTTTTTCATGATCTCTACTTTCCAAACAGCTGCTGTCACATGTTATCACAGAGATCAATACTCCTGCTTTGAGCACAGGGCATCTGGAATGTTATGAATCTATTTTAGTGATTGATAATTAGTGATTGTCCAAAGCCTCAGTCCTCTCCCATTTAAATTTGTTGCTCCAACACAAAGCTGCACAGAGCCCCAGTGTGAGCCTGTACATGTGAACATTCATTAAGACTCTGATCACAACAACCAGGGCTGTTGACAAAAATGCAACCTCGACTGAGATTTCCTTAAACTGTACAAAAAGTCAGGTGAACTTGATTTACTTACTCTTCTTCAGAAAGTGCACAAAGTTAGAGTCAGAGTCTGTACACGGTCTGTCGTTTGAGCCCTTCTGGACGCCGTTTGATCTCTCGGATCAGCAGGTTGATCGGCCCGTAGACGTCGTTGGTCTGGATGTTGCGAACAATGGTGTTGAGGAGAGTGCGGCTCTCCTGGTGGTCTGTTGGCCCCAGAGTTCCCCTCTTCTCCACTGGGAGCACAAACATCAAAGCATCAGAGAGTCTGCTGAAATATTCTTTTAGCAAAGA